AAAATCATAGAGTTATGATACTCACTCAGGAAAGCAAAGGTGTTTCAAAAGCCATGATAACTCTCTCCTATCAGAAATCTTCCAGGTAAGAATCAATGGTGGCAACAAAAAAGTCATATCCTGGGTTGAAAATTACTTCTGAGTCTCCATATTTCTCAAGTTGGAGACTAAAATAATGTATACTTGTGCAAATAAATTCAGAAATTGCTACTCCAGAAATGCAGATAATCTAAATTAACTACATACTGACTGCTTACCATTAAATTCTCTACAGAAGTGACCACTATAACAAGTAGTTTCATCATCCTGGCCTGTGGCACATGATGAGGATTCTCTAATTCAGAGAATCTCCCTGAAAGGGTGATTCAGTGTGAGAAAGTTTAGTTTACTGGGACATTGGCCCCAAACCCCAGGTTCTAGGCTTCCATCTAACTCTTCAGAATACTCCCAGCATATTAGCTGAAATCCTAGTCTCTCCCAGAAAAAAAATTAAAGCAATATTCTGTTTTCAAGACAATTTCTTCTTCAAGAAAAAGAAGGGAAGTTTAAAACTTACCATTTTGGCTATAAATGAACTATACAACCAAACAGTGCCAACTAGATTCCCCTGCTTTACACTGGTATTCTTCTCAGAGGAAGCAGGTAATACCAAAGAAGTTTTAGGGATAGAAAGTGGGCCCCATAGAATTTGCCACTATCTTTTAGAGATATTCATGGGCATAAACCTAGAAGACCAAAAGCTGCATAGCAAAAAGCAGCTCAAAAAATTCAATTTGTATTTCCATCAGTGTCCATATGTCACATATGGAAAGCCTATGTAGAAATAGGGTAGGATGTCTACTGGACCAGTGAAAAACCCTGGTGTTTAGCAAAATTCAAATTAAGATGGAAATCCAGTTGCTTTGTTCAAGGGCAGTATGAGTCACAATCAAATGAGCTGTTTTCCAAAATGGCTCACCTATTATTACTGATAATAGAAGAAGCAGTGATATATGCAAAACAGCAGCTCATCATTACATTTGGCTTATTAATAAACCCATACTCAAATGTAAACACAAATGAAATAATGGTATCGCTCAAGAAAAGCCTACCTCTAAACTGAGAGGCTGGTTACTTGTCCAGAGCTAACTTTCTGGCTAGTACTAACTATGCCACTCAGATTAATGATGAGTATAGAGCCTGCTTCCTTACCACTGACCCTAAGAGTACAAGTTTGATTCTATTTTGCAGATTCAAAGAATCCTACATCTTCCCATCCACAAGTGAAAGAGTTAGAAGGGAGACTCTCAGAAGGGTTTGGCAGCCTAGGGAGAAAGCAATCCAGACACAATGCTGCTATATGATCTTGAGCTCTTTCTTGCTCCATTCAAGAAATTCAACCAAACCCCAAAAACACTAACTCAGAACCCACAGACGTTTCACTACCTCTGGATTTCTGGGGCTGTCTCTGTGTATCTCCCCTCTTGTATGGCATCTTCAGGGTGCAGAACTTCAACTCTATGGGGAAACGGTGGAGTGTAGATATCTGGCACTGACCTTAACAGAGCACAGATGTGCATGGAACTGGTACTTTTTACTACAACAAATAGAAAGTCCAAGTAAGAAATATAGCAACAAAAGTGACAATCAGGAATGGAGCTGGAGAACTTATGGAGAAAACAAAGAAACTGAGTCCCTTCAGCTTCAGTTCAATCCAAATTTCAATAAAGGAAAAGTGTGGGCTGATACCAAGCAAGTGATGACACCAGTGAAACACTATTACCACTCACCCAACTGCCTGCCAGTCTGGGAAACCACACCCCCACTGGATCTTGGAGCTCTCTGCCCACTATTTTTGCACTGTGAGACCATGAGCATAAATTTGTGTAAAACATTTACCTGCTTTGCTCAAAAGGCCTTTCTTGGCTCACTAGTTTGTCAGAGGATCCCATTTTACACTCTCCCATAAGAGTCTTTGTCCTTATTCTTTGACATTCATAGCTCCCTGAACATATCACAATTATAATTAAATGGTTATTTTCCTATAGATTTGTGTAAAGCCTGCCTTCCCTGAAGAAAAGGTCAGGGGCAAGAGGGTAGGTTGCTTCTGCAGGGGAAGAAAAATCATTTTGCCTCTGCCCTTCTAGGTTCTTGACTGAGAACTTTCTGTAATAACAGATTAACAGGAGAAAAACAAATTCTGTTGTTGAACCAAAGACTGTGTGCATGTGTCTCCTGAGGCCAAACAGACTGAAACGTTGGAGTTTGAGGCAGAGAAAGGTTTATTGATTGAGAGGCCACCAGCAAAGATAGGAGATGTAGGCTAATCTCAGATCCATCTTACTGGCTGGCCAGGGTGTAAGATCTTCAAAGGCAAAAGGGGGTAAAAGCATGCGTGTCAGCTCATGCACAGTTCTCTGACTGGTGTGTGAGGCAGCGACAGGGTAATGTTTTGGGAATCAACATCATCAATCTGGTTTCAATCAATCTGAGGTCTACTGCTTATGCTCAACAATTAGTCACCATCCATCACTAGGGTGAGGGTCTTAGTTTTTCCTGACGCAGGGATTGAATCCAGGTCTCCTGCATTGCAGGCAGATTCTTTACCATCTCAGCCACAAGAGAAGCCCTCATTTTCTGCAGAACAACTCAAAGATAAGCATCAGATTGTCATGCATCCCTGGAAGAGGAACTAGGGCTCTATATCATCACTGAACTATTGCTGCCCAATATTTGTTTTGGGGGGCTCCAAAATCACTGCAGATGGTGACTGCAGCCATGAAATTAAAAGACACTTGCTCCTTGGAAGAAAAGCTATGACCAACCTAGACAGAATATTAAAAAGCAGAGACATTACTTTGTCAACAAAGGTCCGTCTAGTCAAAGCTATCGTTTTTCCAGTAGTCATGCATGGAGGTGAGAATTGGACTATAAAGAACACTGAGTGCCAAAAAATTGATGCTTTTGAACTGTGGTGTTAGAGAAGACTATTGAGAGCCCCTTGGACTGCAAGAAGATCCAACCAGTCCATCCTAAAGGAAATCAGTCCTGAATAGCCATTGGAAGGACTGATGCTGAAGCTGAAACTCCAATACTTTGGCCACCTGATGTGAAGAACTGACTCATTGGAAAAGACCCTGATGCTGGGAAAGATTGAAAGCAGAAGGGGACGACAGAGGATGAGATGGTTGGATGGCATCACCGACTCGATGGACAGGAGTTTGAGTAAGCTCCGGGAATTGGTGATGGACAGGGAGGCGTGGTGTACTGCAGTCCATGGGGTCGCAAAGAGTCGGACACGACTGAGTGACTGAACTGAACTGTTGCCCAACTGCCTGTCCTTTGTTTCCGCATCCTCTCACTTTCCTAATTACTAACTGACTAAGTCTGCTCTTTGGAACTCGGGGAAAGTATAGGACACTGAAGCCTTTTTCTACAAGAAACAGGACACGGAAAGTCTTTGGTATCCAAGAGGGTCCTGCTTGGTTTCAGTTTAATAGCATGTATACCTGCTGGAAGAGACCAAGGAAAATTGAGCAACTTCTAAACAGCCCAAACCATCATCTTTGCTACCATCTCCAGCTAAAGAGAAAAGATGTTGTGGGGGAGGCCAGTTAGGGGAGGTGACCAGGCAAAGCCCAGGAATCCAGGGTGAGGTTGTTATGCAGATTGAAGTCATTGCCTTCTTCACTGAGAAGCAGTTCCGGAGATTTACAGTCATGGAGGTTTCCCTTATAAATGTAAATGTCTCTTAAATAGGGCAGCTTCTATTCAGTTTTCAAAGCTTTTCCTTGTCTGCTGTTTCTTTAAAATCAGCCTAAAATAGTCCTTTTGCCAAAGAGACACACTTGGGGGGCAGATTCTGCTTCCCCTCAATTCCCCCAGCACCTACACCAGGTGTTACTCATCCAGACATATTTGCCACATGAATGATTTAGAATACCTTCCTGTGTGTGCACAGCCACGGCTGCTCCACTATCCTAAGCAGGTGTGCTACCACCTTTCTGCGCTTCGCTGGATTCCAAGTTCAACGGCTGTCTCCAAAAGAGAAAATCTCCTGGAGCAACAACACAGAGGCTGGTTTGTTGTTTTTTAAGTGCCCTTCCTTCCGGTCCTATTTACATGCATCATTAGCCCAAAGCGTAAGCACTCTATTATAAGTTATTTTAGAAGTCATAATCATTACAATCGTAAACGCCCATTGAAACCAGACTACCCCTTGTGCTGTTCAAGAATCCCCTCGGTGCTTACGTATCTCTCTCTAGGAGGCCTATTCCAGCTTTTAACCTTCCCTGTGGGCTTTTCATTTGGAGTCTCTTGTGATCTTCAAGCTGTAATTTTCACAAGTGGCGCCCTAAAGCTCTTTAATATTTTTGTTTACCAGAAGTATTCATTTCATTTCTGCATGTTTGGTAGATGAATTTTCTGTAGCAGTTCACAAAATAATGTTTTACAGCATTAAGAGAAAAAAGTTAAAGGCCAAAGACAACCACAAAAAAATCAAGTGAGCAGTTAAACTATTTATATTAGTTTCAGAAGGCTCAAATGTAAGCAACAACTAAGTCATCGCAAGCACATTCAACAGGGAAATCAGGAAGCATACTGGATAAGAATGCTGTACAGTCGGCCGGGGACTGGCGCAGGTGAGGGAGATGCAGGGCTAGATTCTATCTTTATTTTAAAATCTGGTATTTTGCTCTTTGTGAATTTTTTAAAATGAGTTTTGGTTTTTAAAAATTCTTACATTAAAATACTACTGATGCTTCCTCCAAAAGTCAAACAGAATTATCATAAGTAATTCCACTCCTAGGTATAACTGTTTACCAAAAGAGCTTTTAAAAAAACAAACAAACATATTTAATTATTTACAGAACTTCCGTGGTGGTCCAGTGGTTAGGACTCTGTGCTTTCACTGTGGAGGACCTGGGTTGGATCCCCAGTCAGGGAACTAAGATTCCACAAACCTCACGGTGTAGCAAAAACAAAAACAAATACATTTACACATGACTGTTCACAGAAGCACTATCCACAAAAGACAAAAGGTAGAAACAACCCAAGTGCCCATCAATGGATGAATGGATAAACAGATTGTAGTTTAATCCATACCAGGAAATTCTATTCAGCCATAAAAAGGAAGGAAGAACTGACATAGGCTACACTGTGGATGAACTTAAAAAACATCAAGCTCAGTGAAAGAGGCCAGACACAAAAGGCCACATGTTGTGTGATTCCAGTAATATGAAATATCCAGAATAGGCAAATCCACAGAAATAGAAAGGAGTTGCAGAGGGCTGGGAGGGAGGAATGGACAGTGACTGCTAATGGATGTGGGGATTTATTTTGGAGGAATGGAAATGTTTTGGAACCAGATAAAGGTGGTGGTTGCACAACACTGTGAAAGTACCTAATGCTATTGCATTGTTCACTTTGAAATGGTTAATTTTATGTTATATGAATTTCACCTCAATTAAATATGTGTGTGTATGTGTTACTGATCTTGACTCCTGAATTTTTTTATGTTCCCTTAAATTCAATGCCTGAGGCCAGGGTCTTACTTACCAACCCTAGTCTTGGATCTGTTTCATTTTACTTTTTAATAGAAATAAACAGTGAGAAATTGAAATAAGCTTGGGCCACATGTAAATCCGTGGCTGAATTCCAGGTAACAGAAGGACTCATTTTTGACTCAAAACTAGTCATTGTCTGTGCCCTGCCAGCCTTCCCATATAGCCTGGAGAAGCCTCAGTTACCTGGATCCTTGCTTACCACCTGGACATCACCATATGCCAGACAAAACACCAAAACACTTTCTGTCCACTGAGATAGTTGGGAAATGTTTAATCGGCTGAAGAAATCTGCAAGAACCAACGGTCGCCTCTGGAGGAAAAAGAAAAACCACCCCTTTGATTCTGGTTTATTGAAGTATGTATTATTAAATTCCCCTTGAGGCTGGACATCCCATGTTTGGTGGAGAACAGAGTGATTCTACGAGTGTGGTGATTTCATCAGATAGTTCCTTCATCTTGGCTTCAGTTACTTCAGAGCCTTAAAAAAAAAAAAAAGAATATACATATTAGCCACATCAGAAGCTGAATAATGTAAGTCTTTAAAGTATCTCCAACTGATCTTTGCATCATTTTGGTTTGCTTCTGAAAGGCTCCATGTTTGAGGCAAACCTAAACAAACCTGGATGTGCCTTCCCTGGTGAACAGCAATGTTCTGCCCCTAAGTGAAATAAGAAGAGAAATCATACTGGAGTGACTGACTCTGTGCAAATTTTCCAAAAACTGCTGTCCCTACTAAAGAGCTATGGTGCTAGAGAAGACTCTTGAGAGTCCCTTGGACTGCAAGGAGATCCAACCAGTCCATCCTAAAGGAAATCAGTCCTGAATATTCATGAAAAGGACTGATGCTGAAGCTGAAGCTCCAATACTTTGGCCACCTGATGCAAAGGACTGACTCATTTGAAAAGACCCTGATGCTGGGAAAGATTGAAGGCGGGAGAAGAAAGGGATGACAGAGAATGAGATGGTTGGATGGCATTACCGACTCGATGGACATGAGTTTGAGCAAGTGCCGGGAGTTGGTGATGGACAGGGAGGCCTGGCGTGCTGCAGTCCATGGGGTCACTAAGAGTCAGGCACAACTGAGCGACTGAACTGAACTAAACTACTAAAGAACAGGAACACTTTAAGACCTGTCCTACTCCTAGGGATGTCCAAGCAGCAGCAGCCTGTGAGCGTGAATGGAATAAAGCCATCCAGGCTGCTACCTTCTCTAATAAAACCTCCAGAAGCTGCGAGGGACATAAGCTGCCCTTGGAAGCCAAGCCAGTCTCTGACATCTCCCTACAAAGAAAGAAAACACTATTTTATTTTCTACAAATTCAAGGAAGTCTGCTTTTTCATGAGCGACCTAGATCACGGGTCAACACACTGTGTTTGGAAATAAAGTTGTATAGGGACATAGCCCTGCCTATTCATGTGTGGACACCCAAGCCTGTTCTCCATCTCCAAGGCACTGCAGGGCCTGAAAAGCTGAAAACAGCTCCTGTCTGGCCCTTTCCAGCACAAGTCTGCTGACCCCTCAGCTATGCTCGTACAGCTCTAACCACCACAGCCTTCATTATCCATTCATAGGTACTCAGATATGCGTATTCCTGGCCTCATGCACATTCCTAACTGCCAGCTTTCCCAGGGGTGTTCCAGATTACCGGAAGCATAGTCAGCTGTCAAGTTTGTTCTGCTCACTATGCCAGTCAAACAGGAGCATCCCGGGATCCTGTGAGATGAGTCCTGTGATGCTCCCTTCTGCACCAAGACGACAGCTTGTCTACATAACAAACAAGAACTTCAAGGCTCCATCTCACCCTCTCAGGTTGTCCTGGTGATTCCAAGTCATGGGTCAGTTTCAGCTGATTTCCAACTCAGCTAACCTTGGCTCTGAAAAGCTGTCATCACTGGCATCACTGTATCTGTCACTAGAGCAAAAGATGAATGGATTCAGCAAAATGTAAAAAATTTTGCACAATTATTCTATTTATGATCCCAAACACTTTCCACAATTACTCCCCCTCAGAGAAAATACTAAGGAATATTCTAATACTACTTAGTCACTCCAGGAAGACATTAATCCAACCATAACCAATGGTCTCCTTCTTTTGTCAGAGGAACTGATCACTTGCTTTTATTTTAAATTGGAAGTACTTTATTTAGAAAATTTATAAAAGCATTTCAATTTAGACTGAAATGTACTGAAGACCACTAATATAGGCCAACAACATGTAAGTTTTCCATTTCAATAAGCATTCTCATAGGTACAAGGGTTTGAGAAATAATTTGTACAATTTTGCTATTTTCAAATTAGAAACTTTATGTGTTGCTCCAACTACGTCGAGTTACATGTAGTATTCAAAGTAGGACTGATTATTGACATAGATGCTGCCATCTTGAGTTTCTGTAGAAATAAAGCTTCTCCACGAGATAGGCCTACAATTGTACTTTGACTTGGAGTCACAGGCTCAGTTTGGGGTTCCTCTTGCTTGGTTCCAAGTAAACAAGCCGGCTGATCAACCCCTCAAGAGCTCTACTGATCTATGCAGATGGCTTTGCCAGGGCATAAGTGTTTTACGCCTGAGCTACTCCTAGCCTTGGCCAAGTTTTTACTGACTTATAGCAACAGAAATCTGAATTCCATAAGAGTTCAAAATTCACTTTTTTTAAAAGAGAGAAGAGGAAGCAATTGGAGAAACCCTATGCTGACAGGCTAGAAAACAAAGATTTACACTAAACATATTGAGTAAATATCAATAAATACATAAACAAAATCAACAAAACCTCACTCTCCTCCCTGACTTCTGGACAAAATACTGGAAAGGGGGAAGGTGGGGCTACAGTATGGCGAAGACAAAGAAAAAGCTCAAGAATGGCAAAAAAGATAAGATTTGTTAGATAAACAATCAAGTAGAAAATATCTCCTAGTTAGATTTTAATCCAGGAAAACCACTTTTACTGTTATCAAAGGGTTTTCAATAAAGAAAACACATAATAACCAAAGAATATTTTTTCAAAACAAGAACCCAGAAAAGTTGATATATCCTTATCCATGCACTCTCACTATACAAACATACAGTCCCCTCTGGTTCTCTGCAACAAAAGGGGATTTGGAAGATGCACTCAACTTCCTATGTGAGAAGAAATGAAGGTCAAGGATGTTCAAGTGATTCACCAGGCACACAGCTTGTTTGAGGTGGGGCCAGAATCCCCATATCATGCTAACCCAGGCCACAAGTAGTTCAAGTCTCAGCTGTATGCTACAGTGGGCCCAAAAGGTGTGTACCCTGACACCACAAGTGAGAAGGTTCAAAGAGCCAAAGGAACTCCATTTTCTCTAGTAGTTCAAGCTTCCTTCCCTGCTGCTAAACTCGGGAAAGAGAGGGGTGGGCCCACATCTTACCCCTCACTCTCTTGGTTGTAGTAGTTATTAGCTACGTACCTTCAGACTGGTCACTTGACCCCTTGAGAGTCCAGAAAAAATTACTAAGGATACCTACAACACCTCACCAAAATGTTATGAGGGCCAAAAGAGACTGCACAAATGTACTCTGAAATTACATAAAAATATAAGCCATTGCTGGTTATGAGGGTTATATGTTTTTATAACATGACATCTCTCAAAAAGTCATGGAAATAGAAAGAAGCAGTGAAAACTGCCAAGTGCATGATTTTCCTGTACCAAGAGTAATTCCCTCCCCACTTTAACAAGTGGACTTGGGTGGCTCTAACCTAATGGCTCTCATTTCCTGTCTGCTGGCTATCAGCCCTAAACTCTGCCAATGCATCAAAATGGCACAGGGTAAGCCTAACAAAGGGAAGCTCCAAGGCAAATGACTGGGTTCACTCATTTTTTCATATGTGTTCAGAGACAGAGATAGAACAACAAAATAAACCACAACACTCAAGAACAGAATTCTCAAAATAGGCAACGCTGCTAAGCATGCTGATTTTATGGCATTCATGTGCCAGCAAAACACAAGTGCTAGAAACACAATTCTGCATGCAGAACAGCAACAACTCCTGCAAATGCAATAAAATCTGTGCCACGTAAGACTTAGGGGTTCATTTTTTGTTTCACATAGAGTAGACTTAAGTCATAAGATATACTTCTCTGGGGATATTTTCACTTAGTTCAAGACATCTCAGCTCTATCTTAAGACTAACCTATCTCTTTAAATAATCTCTGTACACACACATACACACACACACATACACACACACTTCTCAGTGGGGAGAGTTATTAGGTATTAGGGTCTTACATGTTAAATTTTTTGAAAGGCCACAGAATATGGAACTATTCATGTGAGCCTTCTTACATTTGAGGAGCAGACAGTTTTAAACCTGCACTGTCCAATATGGTAGCCACAAGCCACAGTAGCTATCTGAATTTAAATCAACTGAAACCAAATAAAGTTTAAAATTCCATTCCTCATGTGTATACACTGAGCCATACTTCAAGTGCTCAACAGGCATGTGTGGTTGGTGACTATGATACTGGACAGTGCAGATTTTTTTAGGGTAAAAGCATTCTTTATTACTAGTTTCAAATATTACACTTCTATGTATAATATAAGAAACCAATACATATATATATAGGGCTTCCCCAGTGACTCAGGGGTAAAGAATCTGCTTGCAATGCAGGAGACATAAGAGACATGGGTTCGATCCCTGAGTCAGGAAGATCCCCTGGAGGAGGGCATGGCAACCCACTCCAATATTCTTGCCTGGAGAATCCCATGGACAGAGGAGCCTGGCAGGCTACAGTCCATAGGGTCACAAAGAGTTGGACATGACTGAAGCAACTTAGCACACAAATACATAAAAACTTTGCCAATGCTAGAATTAAAATAGAGCTAAGATTAAAATTGACATAAGGACAGTGCAGATTTTAGAACATTTTCACCAGTGCAAAAAAGTTCTATTGGATAGCACTGATTTAAAACAAATGAATAATGATTTTAACAAAAACAAACTATAATCACCATGCAATGGTTCTCCTTGTCACTCTCTAAGAAAGGTTTTTGTAAGGTCCGGCTATGTACAGTCAAAATCACAGCAAATCTCCCTCATGCATGCACCCTCCAAATAATGGAAGTACTGTTTTCTGAAAAGCTGTTTACTCAAAAAAAAAAAAAAAGCTGTTTACTGTACTATTTCCAAGACAAAATCAAAATCACCAGCGGCAACACACAGGACTTGCCATCCTTCAACACTAGCTCAACTCAACAAGACTTGACCACCATGGTCTACATGTGGTTCTTTGACAAACGAAAGGCTTGTCATAGTCAAGTTTGTTTGTCAAAGACTTCTGGTTCCTAATAAATTCCTAATACAAGAAAACATATATTCCAGGGCACCAGGGCAACGGTAGAGTACTGCCTCACATAGTCCACATTCTTTGTTACCCTGAGGCAGCTGTTAAACCATTTCTTTTCCATTAACAGAAAGAGGTAGTTGGAATTAAAAAATTCTAATAGCATACTTAAGATCCCCAGCATGCATAAATTCCTATAATACTTTATAGCAAAACCCATTTCGTGTGGAGAAAGCATGTTTTAAAACAGGTTGCCATGCACACAGTTTTCCCCAAAGCATTGTTATCACTATACTTACTTCCTTCTCAAAGAGCCCCTGGAAGCCATAAAATATAAGAGCAAGGGAATGAATAACTTAGTATGTTTTGAATGAGTCTTGCATTGAATAGTAAATGGTAGAACACAACCCTGGCAGGACATTAAAAGCACAGTAGTCTATATCAGTATTAACTCCATCCCTGGCTGACACCGCATCATCAGCAGACAGTGAATCACAATCAATAAAGAGCACCTTTTCAGCAACATTTAATCCCTTAGGGAAGGCATACTCAAATGGTGCTTATCAGCAGTACTTTACAAGAAATAGTCTCAAGGTATGGTTTTGGAATCCAACAATAAGCAAGGGAGCTGTTTTAAAGATGTCTGAAAAAGCTGTTGAAAAAGAAAGCAAAAAAGAATCTTCTTTTCCTGTTCACTTTTGCTTGAAATGTAACATAGAGGGAAAAATAGTATTTTTATATCAGGTGAAAGTTTACAAAGCACCATCTCAACTGTTCTTCACAGCAACCCTAAAGGATGAGAATCCTGCGGTTTAAGAGTGGGGACTTGGAAAAAAAAAGAGTGGGGACTTGGAAAAACATTACCCAGGAAGTGGCATATCCAGAAAATAAACCCATAGCACCTGCTCTATTTGTCCACACTATCCCCACAAAAATAAAATATTTGCACCTTATACGGCAAGAATGGTCCCTGGCAACATCAACCATGCAGACCAAAAGTTAAAATAAAAAGCAAGGTGATTCCAAGTTTAAAACACTGCTGGAAAATGGACATTAGATTCACACAGGAGAAAAGGAGTATCTTACTCTCCTAGTCAAAGAGAAAGAATCACCCCAAGTGGGATAAGGATGCCTTAGAAGGATAAATGTACACTCTAATCAGCAGAGAGGCCACGCCTACCTCTAATGGTCATCATCAGTAACCATTTGGGGAACCAGCATCCTAACAGGCTACAGATTGCCTTCCACCAGATTGCCAGCAAAAGGTGGATTGAGAAGAGGAAAGCTGGAGGCATGGAGACCAGGTAGGAGGCTTTGCAGGAGGCAAGAGATTCATAATAATAATAGCACAATAATAATTCCCATTTAATTTCCTACCACAGACCAGACACTGTGCTAAGTGCTTTCCATTTAGAAAAAAATGCACACTTCGTTACTACCTTGTGAAGTGGGTACTATTACCATCTCCTTTTTATAAAAACCATCTTAGCTGCCGGTCTGTATCTGAGAAGACTCTTGGAAGAATATTGATGGATGGGAGGTTTCTGGGATGTGAATACTGGAAAATGATGTTCCAATTGCTATGTGTGTGCACTTTTACAGGAAGTAGGT